GCCAAGAATTGAGAATCTTTAGTAATTCTTTTCTTGTTTTCTTGATGTAATATTGTTGGAGAATTGCCTTGGGCCCATTCTTTAATTCTTGATTTACTAATTAAATTCAAATCGAACTTTTTCCACCACTTAAAATAATCATATAATATATATATATATATATATATAAACTTGAATTTCATATCTCAGGCAACCTCCAAATAACAACCACAACCAGACATGAAATTAACAGAATCAGAAACATAACATCTAGACCCATGAACCTTGGAAAACATGCGATCAAACAGAAACCTTACCGGTAAAGCTGAAAACTTTAGACATGGGCTTAGTTCAGAAAATCCCGAGAGGTGAAATCTGCTTTGTTCCACAGAAGAGAAAGCGAAGAAGAAGAGGGCAAAGGCGAAGAAGAACTCGTGAGAGCAAAAATGCATGAGAGAGAGAAGGAGGAGGAAACCCTATGAGATAGGGCAAAAAAAAGGGAGAGAAAATGGTGGAAAGAGAAATGAGAAGAATGAGGTTGTGGAAAAGAGGGTTTTATTGCAAGTGGAAACAAACAGATTCATTCCGAACGTTCCCAAGTGCAATGTATCTGAGCATACAAATTACAAAGTACCCTTTCTTTCTATTATTCTCCCACCAAATCCAATACCAGAAACCACTCACATAACTGCTTTTCTTTTTCTCTCTTTTTTTTTCTTTCAAATATTGTCTGCTAGGGGATGTTTGGGTGCATGCAATTAACACAAACAATTACTTCTTCTCTTTTAAAACTTTCCTTCTTTTTTATTTTCCACACACACATCGAAAAAATACATTAAATTCACTTTTTTTTTTAAGGGATTAAATTCACATATTCTTAGACTAAATTATCCTCATATATTATTTACCTATTTTAAAGCAATACTAATATTCTACTTAAATTTGTGTCAATTTTTTTTTTTACTTAGACTAATTTTAAATGCTCAACTGCATGTAAAAAATATAATTAAGAAAAATTTCATAAAAATATATTAAAGTTCTATGAAAAAAAAAATCAAAGTTTTGAAACAAAATATTAACAGGAAATATTTTGGAAAGGTATATAATGGATCGAATCAACATTTTAGTTTATTCTTATATTTTATATATAGGAAAGGATATACCTTAGATAGTTAAATAAGGTATGTGAATGTTATCGTGGTATTTGCATTTGATTTTTATAAATAAAAAACATAGCAGTGGATAATATTTTATTTAGATCACAATTAAAATAGAAAAGAATTTGAAAATTTGAAATAAGGGTTAAATATAATTTTAATATCTTAAATTTAAGATAAATTTATTTTTAATCTCTTAAATTTAAAATTGATATTTTTAGCTTCTATAATTTAAAAAATATTATTTTAGTTTTTATACTCAAATTTTTTATAAAATATTTATTAATTTGTCACTTTCAGATATATTATTGATGATTTAAGGGATTTAAATAATTTTTTTTGAAAATCACATAAATTAAAAATACTAGTTTTAAATTTAAAGTACTAAAAATACATTTATTTTAAGTTTAAGATATTAAAAATATATTTAAGTCTAAAATTTAAGAAAATAAATATCATTTTAATAAACAAAACAAATAAAGAAGTGGAAGAGAACGTTTCTCAAACAAATAATGAAAAATTAGTACTTCTAATTTCTTTCTTTCTTTTTAATTTTTCTTATATATTTTTATGAATATAAATACTCAATTACTTGAGTTAACGAAATTTAGTTAATTTTTTTCTATTTATTTTCACATTTAGAAATAAATTTTTTTTATTATCGTTGTATAAGTATAAAGTATCTATTATGGATAATTAATTATTTAAAAAAATTGATTTACCACTTTTAATGAAATTTTTTTTCTAGATTATGTAAAGTTCGTCTATAATATTTAAATTCAATATTTTACTTAAAAATTAAATTTATTTTATTTGAATCGATGACAAACAAATAACGCGATAAGTTTGTACTTGTTTAGTCAAATGTTTGATTGGGAAAATATTTTGTCATAATAGAAACTTGTAAAAGATAAACGTTTCTTAAATTTTAAATTACACATTTATTATGTTAATCCCCCTAATATATTTTTTTACGTTTCAAATACATTGCTTAATTAAACCCGAAAAAATACATTACTTAATTAACCCCGAAACATGTGAACGTTGGATTTCATGCCATCCAAAATAAGTTTTGATACTGAAATTAAATGATGGTATGTATTATATTCCTGAAAGACAATAAATAAAAAAATTTAAGAAAAATTAACATGCATGTATGAAGATCGTGATTCATTCATTTTAACAAGTATTTATTTACAGGCAGACTCAATGAACATGGACACAAGGGAAAATTTTAAAAATGAGACATTTTAATGAATTAATTAAAACTATAAATTTATTATTTGACTATTTTTAGTTTTTTGACATATAAAATGGTATATTCCAAACGAATATCTTGTAATATTTTTTAATTGACAAGGGTTGTTGAAAAAAAAATTAAACTACAATTAATTTTTAGTTTTAAAATATTTTTTGAAAAAACTTACGTTCTATTAAAATTAGTAAAAAGGGTGTTTGTTTAACAACAATGGTAATAATAATAGTATTGATATAAGTGGTATTGTTATTAAAGTAATGATAGTGAATAGTGATAATGACAATAACTATAAAAAAATATTATTATCAAATGCAATAAAAGTATTTTTTTAAATTATAAACTAAATTTACAATTTTTATTTTAAAAAATGAATGTAATTTTTTTAGCTTCATTTTAGTTAAACAGGTTTTATTTTAATAATTATTTTTTAAAACTAAAACTCCACGTGCCCTAAACTTAGTTAATTTATTCAGTATTTTGTTGAGTCAATATTTTTCTTAAAGTAATTTATTTATATATATATATACAGATT